TGCTTGGCCCAGCGGAAAAGTCAGGGAAATAGAACGATAGATAGAGATTTGTATGACATCACTAATATAATCGAGTGATATCACGGCCTGATATGGTTATGATTTCCACTCTGACCCGATCAGAGCCTTACTCATCGCTATAGTTATCCGTGATATCAATCAAAATCTTAGTCATAACTGCGATGGGCATTCGCTATGGATTCACTATTGATTTGCAAATCGGTTCGGCTATCTTAAATATGGATCTTGGGTATTTCTGCGCCGGGGCTCTTTAATTATGCAAATCGAATCAGTTTTCAGCGAATTTGTTGCTGCTTCTGCCCGGGATGCTGGCGAAAAAAACAATAATTTTTATGATATCAATAAACCATGATGAAAAACGTGATAATCGCTGATCAGATTAAATGGTCGCCTGGCGCCAGCTGATTACCGCCGAATTCCGAATGGCTTCGGGTGCTGGCCAACAGTAAAAGCCTCAAGGTCGCAACGGTTGTTAACTTTATGGCTTCTATTTTGCGGATTCGAGCCGTGTTTTTGCCACAGATGGACAGGTGGACGGACCGATAGATGGATGGACGGATGGATGAATGAATGGCTGGGCAAAAAAGGCTGGCGAAAATTGATTTCTATCCATTTCGAAGCCATTGTTTCCCCGAACTCCACCTCCATTCAGTGTAACCCGATGAGCGAATGGCCAAGCCCCAGAGCGGCCAGTTTAAAATACCTATATGCCTTGTACCAAATTCCAAAAGGGGACGCAATAATCGCTGGGAATTCCCAGCTAGAAATATGCGGCTGGACCCACTAAAAAACTAAAAAGTGTAGAAAACCCGGAGTCCACGTCGTCGCCGCGAACTCGTTTCGTGGTGTTTTAGCATATAAAATATGAAGAAAATCATTTCATTTACTGATAGCATGACCATTTATAGTGTCGTTTTGGTTGAAACTAGTTTCCAGTTTCCAGCACCTAGAGCCTGGTTACACCTCGGCTCGCCTCCGATGCACGGCGCGATTTGCATAATGGCGACGCCGCCATTTGCAAGAATAGGGCGGCAAGACGGCGATGCGCTTTGTTTGCGACGGCCAAGCCATTGTTTTACCAGCGTCGCTCTTCGGCCGAAGGTGGATAGCATTTCGAGAGACAAAAGCTGGCGGCGGCGACGAAGAAGAAGTTACTGAAAATCCGAGTTCCGAGCAGAGCGACAACAACAAACGGTGGTAAGTCTGCATGAACTTGAGCGCAGTCCAGTGACACCGATCGGTGGTTTTCGTATAAATATTGGACCTTTTGGTGATGCAAACGTCAGACACAGCCGAGTGCTCGAAGTCAAAGAACTAAATCCAAAAATGCGTGCCTTCATTGTAAGTATACTCTCGGCGGAAGTGTGCCTCCAGGATACCAAGGATTACCACGTCGTTCGTTCCTCTTCCCCCTCCAGGTTATGTGCTTGGTGGCAGTCGCCTGCGCCGACAAGCTCGGCTACAACTACCAGCCCGTGGGCCACTCCGGCTCCGGACTGTCCTTCACTCCTGGTGGTGGCTCCATCGGAGGTGGTTCCATCGGAGGTGGTTCCATTGGAGGTGGTTCCATTGGAGGTGGCTCCATTGGAGGTGGCTCCATTGGAGGCGGCTCTATTGGAGGCTCCATTGGTGGTGGCTCCATCGGAGGCAGCATCGGCAGCGGTGCCGGTCTGGGCAGCCTCGGCAGCCTTGGCGGTGGCAGCGACTCCCTGAGTGCCCCCGTCTCCTACAGCGCCCCCGCCCCCGCCGCCGAGCTGGAGAAGGAGTTCTTCACCTTCACCGCCAACGAGCAGGACTTCGATGAGCCCCAGCAGCTGGAGCGTGTTTCTTCTGCCCTGAACAAGGCCCTGCGCGTCGTCTTCATCAAGGGACCCGAGAACCGTGGCCTGGAGAACGCTGCCCTGGCCCTGGCCAAGCAGGCTGCCCAGCAGGAGACCGCCATCTATGTCCTCAACAAGCAGGCTGACATCGGAGATCTGGCCAGCAAGCTGAACGCCATCCGCAGCAACAACAACAACAAGCCCGAGGTGCACTTCGTCAAGTACCGCACCCAGGAGGATGCTGCCAACGCCCAGCGCGCCATCCAGTCGCAATACGACCAGCTGGGAGGATCCAGCCAGGCCGTCAACGGTGGTGTTGCCCCCGTCCTGAACTTCGCCTCCGCCGGCCCAGTGCGTCAGGCTACCGCCCAGTCGCCCGACAACTCCTACCTGCCCTCCTCCGTCTTCCGTCGCGTCTAAGTTGCTCGATTTGACTCTTCACCGATTCAAAATCGCCAGCGATCTTTGACTGATTTCAAAAACCTAGTTATTGTTGACTATTGCTTAAATAAATTCAATTTTTAAATTTAAAAACCATTTGGAGCGAACAACGTTAAGGGGGACTTGACCCTCCTGTTTAAAAGTTTAAGAAACTTTGGGGGAACTTATGAACTGAAAGTCAGACTGAAGTGGGGAAGGAGAAGCAAACTATTTTTAGGAGAGAACATTGGAAATTTAAATTGAGCAAATTAAAATGTAAACTTTTTTTCTAAAATATGGTTGTGTTGCTTAAAGCTTCTGTTTAAAGAGGAGCCGATTTTTCTCTCAGTCTTTGGTGATACGTTAATGGGTCGATAATAGGTAAATATCTATGTTTATATTTGATTAAAGTCTTTGAATTTAACCCCAATTAATAATAAATTATATGCATAGGTATTAATTATAGTATAATTATCGAACCATCCAAAAAACTGCAAAGTATTTGAGTTAAACGTGGGAATTCACTCGTATTTTTGGGTCATGTTAACAAGGGTTCCCCTTAATTGCTGCCATTAAATCATAACACAGCTTTGGTTTTATAAGCTTTGATGATAGATGATAATTATCTGGTGATATGTAAAACACAGTTTTGCTACATACACATAAAAAAGTTTATTTTTTAATAATTAAAACAGGTTTAGGAACTTTTAGTTATACCAAACTACAATCATAAGTTAATATTTAAAGAAAAGCAGTCTAGGAACTGCAATTCAGACCCTGCAGTTTTCCAATATTAAGAACAAAGTATAACTTATCTTCTTTTAAATAACCAAAATCGACTAAAACTTTATTCAAAAACAACGGGAGAGAATAACAAGGAGATGGACGCTCTAGTGACGCAGACGCTTCAGGATGGAGGCGGGCAAGTAGTCGCTCTGCGGTGCCTGAGGCTGAGCCTGCTGCTGAGCAGCACGGAAGGGAGCCAGTCCCTTGGAGGCAAAGTTGATGGCGTTGGCCACTCCTCCGTTGATGTTCTGGCTAGTACCGCCCAGCTGATCGTACTGCGACTGGATGGCACGCTGGGCATTGGCTGCATCCTCAGGAGTGCGGTACTTGACAAAGTGCACCTCCGGTTTCTTGTTGGCATTCTGGCGCACGGCGTTAAACTTCTGGGCCAGCTCGTTGATATCCGTCTGCTTGTGCAGCACATAGATGGCGGTCTGCTGTTGGGCAGCCTGCTTGGCCAGGGCCAGGACGGCGTTCTCGTAGCCACGGTTCTCCGGCGACTTGATGAAGATCACACGCACGCTCTTCTTCACCGAGGCGAGGGCCTTCTGCAGGGCATCGTGATCCTCGAAGTCGGCATCGTTGGCGACGAAGGTGTAGAACTCCTTGTGCACCTGGGCCTGGGGAGCGGCACTGTAGCTGACCGGTCCAGCCAGGCCACCACTGCTACCTCCACCTACTCCTCCTCCTCCTCCACCAGAGATGGTGGCTCCAGAGCCTTGTGCGTAATTGTAGCCGGACAGACGACCGGCACTGGCCGCGGCCACGAGGCATAGAATGAGGAAAACACGCATACTGGCTACTGCCTACCGCTAACAAAGTATTCTAGAAGAATGCTGGCCAAATCTGCATTAACTAGCTTTTATACCGCCAACGCAGACTCTTGAAATTAGACTAGAAAATCTGGTCGATTTGAGACGGAGTTGGAGCTCCCGTCGGTGGCAATCATCGATCTCCGCTCTCGGATCGTGAATCGTGAATGGCCAGTGGCCATCGGCCATCGGGTTTTCGGAATGCTGTTAATCTGCTAACATAATTTCGCTCTTAACACATTTAACACATTGTTTTGAGCAGAGCTTCAGCTTCAATCGTGCCGCCTTTGGCGACTTTGGCGACTTTGAGATCAGACTTTCCGAAACCAAAACCGAGTGCTTTCCGAATCGAAGTCCGAGTGCGAGTCCAGTCGTGATTCACCCATAATTGGCTTATAATTTATGCAGACGTCCGAGCTGAGAGTTGAGAGCTCCGATCTTCGAGCTCGACTTTTGCAATCCGAGTGTTTTGTTATATTGGCTTGAATATGTATACAGAACCGCTTATTTGTTAATGATTTCAACAAAAAAGTGATCGTCAGCTTAATAAAATTAATGATTAGATTTTCGTTTTTATGGCTAATCAGGTTTCGATGGGGCATAAATCTTCTTTGTCCCCGCATGTGGGTTGCACTTGAGATTCCTTTCTAATTGTACGTGACACACGGCCGGGGCCAGCTCGGAAACCAGGTCACCTAACTGTGCCTGTCAGCCCCGGCGGCCTTGAGCTGTCGCCGGGAGAGAACCAGTCCGGGAGTACGCGATATTAATGATTTCTACGCTCCAAGTGGGTGGATCTAATCTTGTAGCCAATTAATTTGGCGGCATGCGAGTTTGGCTTGGCAGACAATTAGTCCATTGATTTGAATTGGCATGCGGCAAGTCAGCGTTTAAAGTCCGCTCGTAAAGGAAACCTGCCCCAATCTATTCTCGTTCGAGCCGCCTTCCTTATCTCGATATTCCGGCGATAAACTCCGATAGGCGAGATATTTATAGTCTGAAGGGCACTGTTTATATTTAACCCATCCGCAAACGAGCTGGCCGAGCCAGCCAAGGCGGTTTTAATGCACCATTAACTTCTATGGCATGAGCGCCATAAAAATGCCACTCTACAAACGCATAAAGGGGACCATTGTTCGGATTTCGATTTTAAAATTCAAATTTATTGGTGTAATTATGCATTAGTCAACAAGGGGTAACAGGAGGATGGGTTCTTCAGTCGAGATTCGCTTAGACTAATCGAGTCCAGCCTTCGGCCGCTCTAGAAGCGCAGGCGACGGAACACCGAGGTGGGCAGGTAGGCGTTATCCGGGATCTGGGCCTGGGCCTTCTGGACGGGTCCGGCGGAGGCGAAGTTCAGGGCGGGGGCCACACCACCGTCATGAGCCTGAGAGGATCCTCCCAGCTGGTCGTACTGTCCCTGGATGGCGCGCTGGGCATTGGCAGCATCCTCCTGGGTGCGGTACTTGACGAAGTGCACCTCGGGCTTGTTGTTGTTGTTGCTGCGGATGGCGTTCAGCTTACTGGCCAGATCCCCGATGTCAGCCTGCTTGTTCAGGACATAGATGGCGGTCTCCTGCTGGGCAGCCTGCTTGGCCAGGGCCAGGGCAGCGTTCTCCAGGCCACGGTTCTCGGGTCCCTTGATGAAGACGACGCGCAGTCCCTTGTTCACGGATCCAGCGACGCGCTCCAGCTCCTGGGGCTCATCGAAGTCCTGTTCGTTGGCGGAGAAGGTGAAGAACTCCTTCTCGAGCTCACCAGTGGCAGCAGGGGCTTCGTAGGAGACGGGGGCGCTCAAGGCATCGCCACCTCCCAGACCGCTGAGGCCTCCGAGACCACCGCCAATGCTTCCTCCTCCAATGGAGCCACCTCCCAGGGAGCCACCTCCCAGAGAACCACCTCCTAGGCTTCCTCCTCCAATAGATCCACCTCCAATGGAGCCACCTCCAATGCTGCCACTGCCAGGGGCAAAGGACAGTCCAGAGCTGGAGTGGCCCACGGGCTGGTAGTTGTAGCCGAGCTTATCGGCGCAGGCGACTGCCACCAAACAGAGGACCTGCGGCGCACAGGGGAAAAATTGTGATGAGTGTTATCCTGGTTAGTCCTTGCGGTCCTGGGTCCTGGGGCGATCTACTTACGATAAAGGCGCGCATCTTGAGCTTGCTGGGTTCTTTCGGCTTGAGGCATCAACTGCTTCTGTCTCTGCTGGGAGCGATCTTTATTATTTATACAAATCCATCTTGGAGGCTGATAAAGACAAAGATACCGCCGCGGCGCCTTGGCTGCATGGAAATCGCTTTGATGCCACTGTGTTTTGCCGCCTACAAAGGTTGTTGGGGCTTCTCCGGCTCTTTACGCTCGGCGTGGAATTTTTCGGCTGGCTTTCAATGGGCAGGGGACCAGTCGCCGTGGGTTATTCAAATATTCGAGTTTCTTGCAATATTTTACAAGAATTCATATAAAATTATAAAATTAATATGTCGCGAGCACGGCGGAATGAGTTTATCATGCAGATGGGTCATAATTAGGTAATATATAAAATAAATATATTTCTCACAAAAATTTTTCGGCAAGGCGAGCAGCTTGTTGTCTGTGGGACGACTGCACTTGGGTTTTCCAACTCAACGGCAATCGTTTAGTTATCATAATCGTTGTCGACACATCTGCTTAGTTCTGATTTATGGCTGTGATTCAAGCGCTATAATTAGCGGTTCCTCTAATGAGGTGTTTGAAATGCCGCCCCCACAGTGGCTTTTAAAAATATTTTTTTAACTTGTTCAATGCTAAAAATAACACTGTTTTCATTTATATATTTTTGTTTTTATTTTTTAATACACTTTAAGTCTATAGTAAAATAGTGCGGAAGTATTAAAGATTTTTATTGATCTTTTTTCTGCATATTTGGTAAATAAAAATTCAGAATAAATTATCAAGGATTAAAGAATATACAGAAGATTGTAACATAGAATACCCTTTTTAAAAACTATTTATAAATTCAGAAATAAAATACCTTAATTCTAGGCAATGGAATTTCACTATAACAAAATGTCGTATACGTAATTTCCGGGATTTTATATAAAGAATTATTTTAGTAAAGGAATTGAATAGCTTAGAGAAGATCCATCTTGACATTAACTTGGTTCTTAAGGTGTATTCTCCTAAACCTTATTAGCATTCCTTGGCCATACAGTCCACATATGTCCTACAAGTAGAAATGTAATGGATATGAAATCATCAAAATATCCTTTTGGGTATCCAAAATCTCACCCCTGCTAAAAAATAAACCCAAAGAAGAATTTCCAACAAAATAGTTCAATTTTAAATGTTTTTGTATTATTTATCAATAGGTTTCAACAACAAGTTTTAACAAGGATAGGCACAGCTACTTAGCAAAGTCGTTAAGAACTCTTTACAGGCGACGACGGAAGACCGAAGTGGGCAGGTAGGCGTTCTCGGGAATCTGAGCGTTGGCCCTCTGGACGGGACCGGCGGAGGCGAAGTTCAGAGCCTTGGCAACACCACCATCATGAGCCTGAGAGGATCCTCCCAGCTGGTCGTACTGCGACTGGATGGCGCGCTGGGCGTTGGCAGCATCCTCCTGGGTGCGGTACTTGACGAAGTGCACCTCGGGCTTGTTGTTGTTGTTGCTGCGGATGGCGTTCAGCTTGCTGGCCAGATCTCCGATGTCAGCCTGCTTGTTGAGGACATAGATGGCGGTCTCCTGCTGGGCAGCCTGCTTGGCCAGGGCCAGGGCAGCGTTCTCCAGGCCACGGTTCTCGGGTCCCTTGATGAAGACGACGCGCAGTCCCTTGTTCACGGATCCAGCGACGCGCTCCAGCTCCTGGGGCTCATCGAAGTCCTGTTCGTTGGCGGAGAAGGTGAAGAACTCCTTCTCGAGCTCACCAGTGGCAGCAGGGGCTTCGTAGGAGACGGGGGCGCTCAAGGCATCGCCACCTCCCAGACCGCTGAGGCCTCCGAGGCCACCGCCAATGCTTCCTCCTCCAATGGAGCCACCTCCCAGAGAGCCACCTCCCAGAGAGCCACCTCCCAGAGAGCCACCTCCCAGGGAACCACCGCCAATGCTTCCTCCTCCAATGGAACCACCTCCTAGGCTTCCTCCTCCAATGGAGCCTCCTCCGATGCTTCCACTGCCAGGAGCAAAGGACAGGCCGGAGCTGGAGTGGCCCACGGGCTGGTAGTTGTAGCCGAGCTTGTCGGCGCAGGCGACTGCCACCAGGCACATTACCTATGGGGAACGAGATGAAGGGTTATCCGTTAGTTATGGTTGCTAGACAGGGAATCCTGGCTGGGTCACTTACGATGAAGGCGCGCATCTTCAGTTTTTAGGTTCTCTTGGTTTGGAGCTCAGATTGCTTCTGCCAGTGACCGCCGCGACGGGTATCATTTATACGCACCAGACCTCGAGGCTGTCGGCGCAGCTTCTCGAAGACAAAGCGGTGACGCAGCTAAATGTTTTTTCCGCCTACAAAGTAGGCAGCGATCAGCTTTTGTTTGCGCTCGCAGGCACTTCAGCTTTGCATAAATGTTATTATAAGGAAAAGCGATAAAGCCGCACAACATGAGCATAAAAATGCAATAATGGGCCAGGCCGAGGCATGGAATTACATATGGATTTTCGTTTTTATTCAATTAAAAATTCTACAACACATTAACAAACAGTCAGTGCCAGGCGAGGGGTCCTTAGCGGATGCGCAGACGGCGCAGGATGTTGGCGGGCAGGTACGAGTTGCTGGTGGCAGCGGCAGGAGCCGAGTAGTTGGGTCCATACCGGGCAGGTGCCGCCGGGGCAGCGGAAGCGAAGTTGATGGCGTTGGCCACTCCACCGTGGATGTTCTGGCTGGAGCCGCCCAGGTTGTCGTACTGCGACTGGATGGCACGCTGGGCGTTGGCAGCGTCCTCAGGAGTGCGGTACTTGACGAAGTGCACCTCAGGGCGCTGGTTGGAGTTCTGGCGGGCGGCGTTGAACTTCTGGGCAAGGTCTCCAATGTCGGTCTGCTTGTTCAGGACATAGATGGCGGTCCTCTGCTCGGCAGCCTGCTTGGCCAGGGCCAGGGCGGCGTTCTCCAGGCCACGGTTCTCGGGTCCCTTGATGAAGACCACACGGAGTCCCTTGTTCACGGAGCCAGCGATCTTCTGGTCGGCCAGAGGATCATCGAACTGGCTCTCATCGGCCTCGAAGGTGTAGAACTCCTTGTTCAGCTCACCGGAGGGCGAGTAGCTGACACCCGGGCTGCTGCCGGCCGCGTCGTAGTCACCGGCTCCTCCGCTGACACCACCAGCAAAGCTGGGAACATTGTCGGAGGCGGCACCAACTCCAGCTCCGTAGTTGTACTGGGCGCAGGCGGCGCCGATCAGGCAGAAGGCGATGAGGAAACGCATGGTTTTAGGTACTTAGTGTGCTGAACAGGCAAAGGCCAAGACTGAATCCTGAGGCTGCGGCACGCAGCTTTTATACCCTGCTATAACGGCCTCAGAACAATGGCCAAAAGCAAATACCATTCCCGTCGGGTTGCTCCATAACTCAACTAGTTTTTTATGCAAAGCGGTGCGCTTATGAAATGATTATGCAAAACTATCCCAACACTCCATCCAGTTGGCCAAATCCATCCAGTCGGCGACCCCTAGCTCGGACTTTCTGCCCAATTGCAGATACGCGTTCTGGGGGACCGGTTCGAGATGAGGCGCTACTCTTGACCGGGCCAAAAACTGCCCCGGAATTCGACTGGGGAAAATGCTGCAGAACTATCAGAGAACCCGTTCCCCCGAAAAGAAAAAAAAAGAGTAAGCGACGCCATAAATGTTCTGACGGTCGTTAAAGCCGAGCACAATGTGATGCATTCTTGGAGTTCCGCCTACGAATCGATAAAAGCTTAATCTATGCATACTCTTATGCTGATTCCATTGATAGTTTATGAATTCTCGCTGTTTGGCTTTTTCGCCATCGAAAGTGGATGTTTAGAATTGAGGCAACTTTTTAGTTTCGGGTTCAAAGTCAAGAGGAATGTCGGAAGTTCTCTTTGAACTCGGAGGAAACCTGTTCCAAATGGCTGGGATTTCCCAACTAATCCTCTATATAAGAGCCGACAGCATCTGGAGACGTCAGTATGGAATGGTCTCCGGATGATGGAGATGTCCACTTAAGACGCCTAAGAAAACTATATAATATTCTGTGTAAAATCTATTCCGATTTTTACAATAGTAAAAGAATATATATAATCATGTCATATTTAAAAATAAATTGCTTTTGTCAGATCAAGGCTGAAATAGGCTTGTTTTTATAGTCAGTGTCTTAAAATAATGATGCTGGTGTCATAATGATCGAATAATAGCGCCTGCAAAATTAGTTTAAAACTAATTTATGGATTATGCATAAATAATTTCTTGGACGCGACTTATTAATATATATATAAATGTGTATTTTGAAATACTTTGGTTGAAATTATAATTTTTTTTATATATCTAATTCAGCAAAATAGTATTTGGCCTATTTCCTATATGTCTCATTCCCTTGAAAAAAAAATATTATATATTTATATCCAATTGACCTTAAGCTGATATTACTATAAACAAGAAAGAAAGCTAACTTTGGCCAGCCAAAGTTTGTATTCCCTTTCAGGTAACAAATAAAATATATCATAACTAAGCCAAAAATGCATTAATTTCGATTCGGAAAGCAGTTTTGTGTTAGTTTTTATTAATTTAAGAAAACTGCATACCAAATTTAAAATTTTAAGAAATCAAAATTTGTGGCCATTTTTGCTAATTTTAATGATGTAATTTTAATGAGGTTCATCAAGTTCATTGTAATTGTTGATTGATGATCACCTGATAGGCAGAGGTGAAGCTGGAGGAGCGAGCAGCTGGGATGACAGATCTCAACCCGATGGCAGTGGAGGACGGTGATCGGATCTTGGCTCCGGGCTAGTTAAAACCCTGCAGCAGGCGTATATAATTAAAATATTTATAAATGCAATTTAAATATGTAAATGTAATTGATGGAACACACAAATATTAATCAATAAAAGATGGTGAAATCAATGTGCAATTTTTTTGTGAAGGTGGCATTTATTTGGGATCGTTTGGGGAAAAATCTAATTATTTTGAAAGCAAAATCGTAATTTTTAATTTTTTTCTGAATTTTAAACATTTTTTTGGATTTTTAAAATTTTTCTTAATTTTTAATTTTTTTCCCAAGTTTTTAAAATTTTTTTAATTTTTTTCAGAATTTTTAACATTTTTTTCAGATTTTTTATATTTATTTTAGATTTTTTTCAGAATTTTAAAAATTTTTTTAAACATTTCAACTGCCATTAAGCCTGATATATTGCCTCCCAATATTGCAAAATTGCTACATGAGCATCACTGATGCAAAGTCTGATTTTATAGCCTCCCAATATTGCAATATAGCCAGATGAGCATCACTGCCATTAAGCCCGATTTTATAGCCTCCCAATATTGCAATATAGCTAGATGAGCATCACTGATGGAGATGAGCATCACTGATGCAAAGTCAGTTTCAGTGTGCCCAGGTGCATTTAAGCAACATTTTAGCCAAAAAATTTACAATATGGTCACATCTGGTTTGAGTCTTCGCTTACTCCAAGATCAATGGTTCGAAACTTGGACTTTTTATAACAGTTTATACCAATTTTCAGTTGCTTGCTGCTGGTTTCTGTTCGCCTGTTACCCCAATTTGGGAAACGGGCAATTTGCATGGAAATGTTCAAAAATTTGGATGGGCTGCTGTAGGGATGTTGTTGTAGAAAGGTTGTTGTTGCCATCAAGCTGTTGTTGTCGGCAACAAATAGGTATAAATGCATAAAATTAAATATAACAGTTATTCAAAAGGTTTGAGTCTCCGCTTACTTGCGCCGGCTCCTAAATGGTTTGAAACTTGGACTTTTTATAACAGTTTATACCAGTTTTCAGTTGCTTGCTGCTGATTTCTGTTCGCCTGTTACCCCAGTTTGGGAAACGGGCAATTTGCATGGAAATTTTTGGAAATTTGGATGGGCTGCTGTAGGGATGTTGTTGTAAAAAGGTTGTTGTTGCCATAAGCTGTTGTTGTCGGCAACAAATAGGTATAAATGCATAAAATGAAATATAACAGTTTATACCAATTATTATTTTTGCCCAAATGTTTTTATAACAGTTTATACCAGTTTTCAGTTGCTTGCTGCTGGTTTCTGTTCGCCTGTTACCCCAGTTTGGAAAGCGGCCAATTTGAATGAAAAGTTTTGCTCACTTCCATCAGTGATGCTCACTTCTATCAGTGATGCTCACTTCCATCAGTGATGCTCACTTCCATCAGTGATGCTCACTTCCATCAGTGATGCACACTTCCATCAGTGATGCTCACTTCCATCAGTGATGCTCACTTCCATCAGTGATGCTCACTTCCATCAGTGATGCTCACTTCCATCAGTGATGCTCACTTCCATCAGTGATGCTCACTTCCATCAGTGATGCTCACTTCCATCAGTGATGCTCACTTCCATCAGTGATGCTCATCTGCATCAGTGATGCTCATTTGCATCAGTGATGCTCATCTGCATCAGTGATGCTCATCTGCATCAGTGATGCTCATCTGCATCAGTGATGCTCATCTGCATCAGTGATGCTCATCTGCATCAGTGATGCTCATCTGCATCAGTGATGCTTTTTTAATTTAAAAAAACTGCATACTAAATTTAAAATTTTAAGAAATCCAAATTTTTGGCCATTTTTGCTAATTTTAATGATGTAACCCCTTATGAAATTTCGCAAAAATGGCCAAAAAATCGATTTCTTCCGGACATGTCTAGAGAGATTCGCATGTTATTGCTGATCAAGAATATGTGGTTTATGGGGTCGGAAATGATTCCATGACTTGGAAAAATATTATTTTGTATTATAAAATCTGATTTTTTATATTAAAAAACTTCTTGATTTTTTTTAAATTAAAAATATCATATCTCGGCCATAAGAGCATTAATTTTAAATCGGAAAACTGTTCTGTGCAAGAATTTCTATAGTTAATAAATCTGCATACTTCATTTAAAAATTTTGAAAATTCAATTTTTTATCAAAATCAAAAATTTGAATGATGTAACCCCTTATGGAATTTTGCAAAAATGGCCAAAAAATCGATTTCTTCCTGGCATATCTAGAAAGATTCCCCTGTTGATGCTGATCAAGAATATATATACTTTATAGGGTCGGAAAGGTCTCCTTCACTGCGTTGCAAACTTCTGACTGAAATTATAAAACCCTGCAAGGGCATAAATATGAATGCAAATTAGTGGACTTCAAAAATATATTTTTATTATTATTTATTTCAAAATTTAAAGTTTATTTTCAACCTAAACATAATCTAGTCTGATCTTTTATTGTTGTGCTATTTTCGTCATAACAAGTTGAACCACTTTAAGATAATTTTACTATTCTAAATCTAAACATAATTTGCAGAAAAATATTATACCTACAAAATCTGTAGCTAGAAACCAATTATATAAAACAGAATACGCAATATTTTTTTTAATGATAAAAAAATACCACAAAAATAACATTACATTTTATGATTGCATAATTTTGATGGGAATTTATTCTAATTTGCCGTTGAAGACAAGCTAAAGTCACCTTTAAATATTAAAAATAATATTATATTTAATTTATAAACTAAAAGGATTGTAAATTATAAACATACGGCTAAAAGTGATGTCTCAACATGTTTTACCGAGTCATAATATGCATGGGAGAAAGTGTAGCTTTTAAAATAAATTAATAAATAAACATATTAGTAATTGACTAATAAATAAGAAATCAAAAATGTAAAAAGTACGAATGTTAGATAATTTTTCATATTTCGTTTTATTTTACAAAAATTCAACAGGATAACTAGACAACAATTCAAATGCAAGTCCTTCGTACTTAAAGACGGAAGCGACGGAAGATGTTGGCGGGCAGGTAGCTGGCTCCGGGGGCACTGGCAGCCGGGGCATGGGCAGGAGCGGGCTGCGAGGCGAAGTTCAGGGAGGAGGCTACTCCGCCATCGTGCGACTGGGAGGATCCTCCCAGCTGGTCGTACTGTCCCTGGATGGCACGCTGGGCGTTGGCAGCATCCTCCTGGGTGCGGTACTTGACGAAGTGCACCTCGGGCTTGTTGTTGTTGTTGTTGCGGATGGCATTCAGCTTGCCGGCCAGATCTCCAATATCAGCCTGCTTGTTGAGGACATAGATGGCGGTCTCCTGCTGGGCAGCCTGCTTGGCCAGAGCCAGGGCAGCGTTCTCCAGTCCCTTGTTCTCGGGTCCCTTGATGAAGACCACGCGCAGGGCCTTGTTCAGAGCGCTTTGGACCTGCTCAGAGGCAGCGGGATCGTAGAAGTCACCCTCGTCGGCGGTGTAGGTAAAGAACTCCTTCTGGAGCTCAGCCTGGGGAGCAGCATAGTTGGGAGCAGAGACAGACTGGGCGCCCTCGGGGGCACCAATGGACTCAGCGATGGAGGCGCCTGGACCAGCGGCAAACAAACCGGATCCCGAAGAGGAAGGAGCTGCGGCAAAGGCAGGAGCATCGTTGCTGGCCAATCCCGAGGGCTGGAAGCTAAGTCCCGAGGAGGAGTGGGCCACCGGCTGGTAGTTGTAGCCCAGCTTATCGGCTGTGGCGACGGCGATGAGGCAGAGGACCAGGAAGGATCGCATGTTGGCTTGTTGGGGTGGAGAGATGATTTGTTACTGTCTCAACGAGTCGCTGACACGGCTTTTATAGGTGCAAGATTCAGTTCTTCGGCAAAGACTGCATTATGCTTCGATATATATATGAATTATGAAGAGTTCACATTTGCCTTAAAAATGCATAAATAACCGATTAAAATGCGGCTTCGCTATTATATATTTTTACGATTCGTCACAGTGCTGCTGCGGTTGCAAATCTCTGCATGGCTCTGCAAATAAAACCCTGTTTGGTGGCTCCGCGAAAAGCTCAATGCAAATTAGACGAAGCCGCGGCCAGAATTGGCCGGTTTGCGAGCTTTTGGTTATAATTTAGAGGGTTCGGCTGGGGGTTCGACTCGGATTGCCAAATCAGATGGCGCCAAGTAATTTATTAAGAGCCCAATTATCGCATTATCTGATTCGGCGCTGACAAGGCGCAGCAGTGCAGTTGTTAATTAGCCATCGGCCCAAAGATGGCGTCGCAAGATGGCGGCTATATTTAGCGATGAGTGCGCTGCGCCGCGGCAAAGCACTTCCGGCGGACGAGCGGAAGGTCGCCCGCCACCACCCGCATAATTTGCATAAAGCTGAAATCACAGATATCGCAGAAATCACAGAAACCACAGCGCGACCGAGAGGCAAGTCGACAAAACAAAGCCGCTGAATAAGGCAATAATAATTTGGCGAATCGTTAAAATATTTATTTTTGGCAGCAGCATCGACAGTAACGCGACTAGGCGCGCCTCATTTGCATGTGAAACGGCCTGTCAAACGTTTTGTTTGCTCTGCGATCCGACCGATTTGGGCGACACTTCTCCGCATCCCGGCCGGATTCGGACATGTCGCCGTACTCACCTCGGACCCGGGCATCCAGCGCGATTGCCCCGAATGGGGTTTTACGATGCCCGGGCCCTGTCCGCGGCTTTTTATAGCCGCATTTTTATTGATTTCAACGATAAAGCTACATGAAAATTCCAAATTGGCAAGGTTGGCTCTGGTTTTGGTCGCAGAACGGCGAGAATTATTGATTAAGGCAGCATATTGAATTTGATATGAGTTTTATGGCCGACATGGACACTTCTTCGCCTTCCTTCCTAGCCAAAGTCGAGTGGCTTGCAGTCCGCTGGCTGCATATTTTAGCCTCGAGAACGAGAACGAAAACGATAACGAAAACGAGAGCGGGTGGTGGTGGTGGCGGGCATAATTAGAGCGCGTTATGCAGCGCGCTTTGCATAACGGCAAAGGCTCCGCACGGCGGCTTCTATCTGCATAAAAGCCGCGCCGGCACCTGGCCAAAGCATCACATTCCACAGCCAGCTCACCCACTCAACAACATGCGCCAATTCTCGGTAATCCTTTGCCTGTGCCTTGCCGTCCTGGCCAGAGCCGACAAGTTGGGCTACAACTACCAGCCGGTGGCCCACTCGGCGTCAGGTCTCAGCTTCCAGCCCTCGGGACTGGCCAGCAACGATGCTCCAGCCTTTGCCGCAGCTCCCTCCTCTTCGGGATCCAGTTTGTTTGCCGCTGGTCCCGGAGCCTCCATTGCTGAATCCATTGGTGCTCCCGAGGGTGCCCAGTCTGTGTCTGCTCCCAACTACGCAGCTCCCCAGGCTGAGCTCCAGAAGGAATTCTACACCTACACCGCCGACGAGGGTGACTTCAACGATCCCGCTGCCTCTGAGCAGGTCCAAAGCGCTCTGAACAAGGCCCTTCGCGTTGTCTTTATCAAGGGACCCGAGAACAAGGGACTGGAGAACGCCGCTCTGGCTCTGGCCAAGCAGGCTGCCCAGCAGGAGACCGCCATCTATGTCCTCAACAAGCAGGCTGATATTGGAGATCTGGCCGGCAAGCTGAATGCCATCCGCAACAACAACAACAACAAGCCCGAGGTGCACTTCGTCAAGTACCGCACCCAGGAGGATGCTGCCAACGCCCAGCGTGCCATCCAGGGACAATACGATCAGCTGGGAGGATCCTCCCAGTCGCACGATGGCGGAGTAGCCTCCTCCCTGAACTTCGCCTCGCAGCCCGCTCCCGCCCAGGTCCAGCACGAGGCCACCGCTCCCATCTCCTCGTATGTGCCACCAGCGACTCCTGGCAGCTCTTACCTGCCCGCCAACATCCTGCGCCGCCTGCGGTTCTAAGGCCCTTAGACCCATAGACATTCCATCGTTATTGTTGAGATTTTAATACGAAATAAATGTTGTTTTTTAATGTAAATTGCTGAATGGCTTGCGGATCTTCTTGTCTCACATTCCTAGGCACAGCAGATATCTTCGATATCGATTTGAATTGGATTTCCGAGCTTCGGAATTTTCGCATAAGTTTGTGAGTTTGGGCTGGCAAACGGGTTCTCCGCCCCGCGCTGAATTATGAGTCCGTCGCCGGCCGAGATATTTGTGAAAATTGCAAATGAGCGGAAACCTAAGATGTTTCCTCTGCCGGCGATATGGTCTGACGTATAACATATGGCTTAGCGGCTACTTGGCGCCCACGGATCGATGGCGATTGAGATGGCTCCGAGCGGCTTGACAAATTGCACTCGACAGCCGACAATGCCCAAAGCCAAATCCATTGGGCGGGCAATTTAAAACTATTAGGCTGGGAAATTAGCCCACACCAACTGGCCGGAGTCGGAGTCCGACTCGGGTCTTACTTTCAATCATCCCCGGCGCTATTTGCATAACAAAATGGGCGAACAAAAGAACTCGGCTACTGCACAGTCGGACAATTTGGAGCTGCTGGCCCTTTGTCCCCTGATTAGCATAAAAATTTTGTTTGTCCGCTAGCTGCAAGTTCATCAAATTTTAATCAACGCCGCCGCCGCTGCCACCAACGCCGCCTCTGACGCGGCTTCTGATTTGGCCAGGCCAATAGCCCGAGTCAGCCTCCGCCAGCGCGGAAAAAGAAAAACAGAGAAACAGGTTAGGCTCAGACAATGCGAACCTTATCGCGATCTCCAGCACGCTGTCAGCGTCCGTTCTGATTGAAGCCCATATCGAACCGGGCCATATAAATGCCCCCGCGGCTCAAGCCGACATCATTCTGACTTCCGACTCCGGAGCTCCAACTAGAACAGCAAACAGCAGCAGTACATCCCTAGCAAGATGCGCGCCTTCATCGTCCTGTGCCTCGTGGCAGTCGCCTGCGCCGACAAGCTCGGCTACAACTACAAGCCCGTGGGCCACTCCAGCTCCGGCCTGTCCTTCGCTCCTGGCAGCGGCAGCAGCGGCTCCCTGAGCCTGGGAGGCGGCGGCGGTTCCCTTGGTCTGGGAGGCGGCAGCGGCTCCCTGGGCCTGGGTGGCGGCAGCAACTTCGGCAGCCTGGACAGCGGTCTGGGTGGCGGTCTGGGTGGCGGTCTGGGCGGTGGCTCCATCGATTTGGGATCCTCTGGACTTGGATCCTCTGGACTGGGATCCTCTGGTCTTGGCTCTGCTGGTCTCGGCTCCGCTGGACTGAGCGCCCCCGTCTCCTACCAAGCCCCCGCTGCCACTGGTGAGCTCGAGAAGGAGTTCTTCACTTTCACCGCCAACGAGGAGGACTTCGACCAGCCCCAGGAACTCGAGCGCGTTGCCAGCTCCGTGAACAAGGGTCTGCGCGTCGTCTTCATCAAGGGACCCGAGAACCGTGGCCTGGAGAACGCTGCCCTGGCCCTGGCCAAGCAGGCTGCCCAGCAGGAGACCGCCATCTATGTCCTGAACAAGCAGACCGACATCGGAGATCTGGCCAGCAAGCTGAACGCCATCCGCAGCAACAACAACAACAAGCCCGAGGTGCACTTCGTCAAGTACCGCACTCCTGAGGATGCTGCCAATGCCCAGCGCGCCATCCAGTCGCAGTACGACCAGCTGGGAGGCTCCAGCCAGGCCATCAACGGTGGTGTTGCCAACGCCCTGAACTTCGCCTCCGCCGGACCCGTGCGCCAGGCTCAGGCCCAGATCCCCGAGAACTCGTACCTGCCCTCGTCGGTGCTGCGTCGTCTGCGTTTCCGTCGCCGCTAAGCTGAGTGCCATAGCTCCTATAGCTTCTATGGCTCCCACAGCCACAACCCCACTGCCATATGACATTTGTTGACTTTTGTGTTATCTATTGATTTGTCGAACGAACCCCAAATACAGTTCTTTTTTTAAACCAAACTTGTGGCTATTTCTGTCCTGGTCGTGTGGGAACGCGGCTACCTATAGAGTTGTCAGTGTCCCCTCACTGGTGGCGGGTGAAAAATTGCAGAGCTCGGCGTTTATTACAGGCCCGAGAGTAGCCATAAAAATTCCAAAGCGACGGCGCCAAATGGAATACAAGTGGAAATCAATAAAAAATTTACATGTCTTGGGACGAAACGTTTTTTATCATAATTAAAATGTTAATCTGCGTGAAGTAAAAGGTTAGACAAACTATTAGCGCCCAAATTTATGGCAACTGCAAGACGGAACCGAGAAGCCGCAGATGCTGCATAATGCATAAGTGATAACAGAGTGGAGTTGGCCGGATGAATGGCCAATAACAAAGAGCCAAAGTGGTCAGCGACAGCTCTTTTTTCAAGAGCACCCACTACGGCCGATTAGCATAAGCAGAAAACTCGAGTCGGTTAAGAAAAATCATAAAAAATATAGATAAATAAATAAATACAACATACCGAATACAAAATCCAAGCTCCAATAGCGATTTTGCCAGAGATATTAGCAACAAAATGTCGAGTAAAACAAATGGCGACAAAAGCGAAGGGGAGCTGGCGAAGCTGATGAGGGAATTGCTCGGAATGAGGTGCAAAATCAAAGACAACCAATTAAGAAACCAAATTAAGCAGAAAAAAGAGTTGCAGGCTGCAGCGATTTCGCATAAAAGTCGTGGGCGTCGTGGAGTTGGACATACTTGCCTTCGATCCAGCAATCCAAGCGGAGTTATCCACCTACACACAAACCAGCCAAGATGCGCGTCCTTATTGTGAGTACTTCGAGGATAATTAGAGGATCTAAAGATCGCCTCTTTTAACCCAATCCTTTTCTCTTCCCCCTCCTTGCTTAGGCCCTTTGCTTCGTTGCCGTTGCCAGCGCTGCCTCCTTCGGCGGTGGCTACAACTACCAGCCCGCTGCCACAGCTCCTGCGGCCACCTCCTTTGCCCCAGCAGGACCTGCCTACAGCCCCTCGGTGGCTGCCAGCCAGGATCAGCCCGCCTACAATGCCCCCGCCGAGCAGACCTTCGCCCCGGCTGCCGTCGTTGAGGCTGCACCCTCTGCCTCTGCTCCCAACTACGCCGCTCCCCAGGCTGAGCTCCAGAAGGAGTTCTTCACCTACACCGCCGACGAGAGCGCCTTCAACGAACCCGCCGGCTCCGAGCAGGTCCAAAGCTCTCTGAACAAGGCTCTCCGCGTGATCTTCATCAAGGGACCCGAGAACAGCGGCCTGGAGAACGCCGCCGTTGCCCTGGCCAAGCAGGCTGGACAGCAGGAGACCGCCATCTATGTCCTGAACAAGCAGGCTGACATCGGGGACCTGAGCAACAAGCTGAATGCCATCCGCAACAACAACAATAACAAGCCCGAGGTGCACTTCGTCAAGTACCGCACCCAGCAGGATGCTGCTAATGCCCAGCAGGCTATCCAGTCCCAGTACGACCAGCTGGGTGGATCCTCCACCATCCAGAACGGAGGCGTGGCTCCCGTCCTGAACTTTGCCTCCCAGCCTGCTGCTCGTGAGGTGGCCGCTCCCTCTGCTCCCGGCAGCTCTTACCTGCCCGCCTCCGTGCTGCGATTCCGCCAGTAAGAAGGAAAAGAGCAGCTCACTGACCTCTGAAACAGACTCAGACTGACCCCGTCTCAATGACGATTCCTACGCACTCGCTGCGACCTGTTGCCTAGTTTGTAAAAATTGCGAATTTCGAATTTTTCCCAAATAAAAATAAAGTTTATCGTTAATATAAAGAAATCAGTGTTGTAATCTTTGGGAGCTTGCTAACTTTAGGCGACATTGAACTAGTTGCCCTAAAAGGCGGGACGCTCTCCCGATTTGGTTACCTGGGTTCGCCGGCTGAAATTATAAAATGCTTTGCCCGCCGGGGATTGTCCAACAAATGTTTTTTGCTCTTCGCCGCGGTTATATCATGCTGGGAATAGTGGTGAGTCTACCTGGAGGCTAATAGCCAGGTCTTTGGCTTATGCTAATGGCGTGTCTCTGTCCCAGTTTCTCGCCTTGCTGGCTGGCGGTTCCGCGGAACTGGGTTACCAGTATCAGCAGAATAGCTACGGAGGACCGGTGAATAACCAAGGGGAGTATCCCGCCCAGCCTAACGATCACTACCAGGAGCATCACGACTTCCACAAGCACTTCTACGCCTTTGAAGCGCCCTACGATTCCTCAGAAGAGGCTGACCTGGTAGAGACCAAGCTGGCAGGTCTCTCCCAGAAGAACCTGCAGGTGGTGTTCATCAAGGCGCCGGAGAACAAGGCCGTGGTGGGTGCCCTCAACGCCTTGGCAAAGCAGACCACGGAGGACAAGACGGTCATCTATGTGCTGAATAAGCAGACGGATGCCCACGAACTGGCAAGCGAACTCAGCTCCTTGAAGGCGCAGCACAAGCATAAGCCCCAGGTTCATTTTGTCAAATACAGGACGGAGGCGGAGGCTGCCCAGGCCCAGCAGCACATTCAGGCGCAGTACGGAGGAGCGGGAACAGTCTCCCAGTCGGGACAGGCCTCCTCCTTGGGTTACTACCCGGAGCAGCAGCCGCAATTCGATCAGCAGGGATACTATCCGGAGGGAGCTCAGCGCCCTGGCGAGTACCCAGTGCCTTCACCTGGCTATCTGCCGCCACCCTCTCAGCCTTCGCCGGGCTATCTGCCGCCAGTGCCCAGCTACTCCTCCCTGGGCCAGGGTTACAGTGCAGCTGGAGGAGCGCTGGACCTGCCTCCAGTGCCTGAGGCCCAGCAGGATCTCTCCGCCAGCTATAACGATGGTAGTCAGGATTACCGATCGGCCAGGTCACAGCGCATAGATTTCAGGGTCAACGAGCGAAGAAGGTCAGGTAGCCGCATGGTTTTTCCCACCTCTTCTCCCTCGACCATTTCCAGGTCTTACCTGCCCTTACCCGTCCCAGCCAAGCGACGACGACTCTAGCTCTGACTTTGACTCCAAGTCAAAATTAAGACATTAAATTAGTGCCATAAGACTGCGCCCGCGGGTGTGACTAGTTGTAGCTGCCAATAAAGACGAGAGATACATCAATGAATGGCCACCAGTGTTTGCTCTTCGCTCATCCTCATCAGCCGGAGCTGTGAATGGCCCTAAGCGGCTTATCGCAGATGCGAGCCGAGGGCTAGAGCAGATCTAAGCCCGGCTCAGAGTGACGTGTAAATTAACAAATCAGTAGCCATAAAACGTCGGCCGTTAAAATTCCGGGGACGAGTGAAAGTGGAGCCGAAGTCACAACAAATGGCAACCACAATGGGAGATAGACCCAAAAGGGGCATATGAAAATATTTGATAACTAATTCAAATTGGGAGCTCATTTGTAAATTTTATGCGAATTAAATTCAAGTTCAAGCTGGGTCACAGTCTTTGTCTTGGGCTCTTGCAAGCCCAGAAATTAGCATTTCAAAATTGAACGACATTAACATGGATAATCGGAGCAGGCAAACACAAAACCAGAGCAAACGTTTGCAGAAATCTTTTATAAGTTTGTAAAAAACAAAATCAGAGAGACAAATGCAAAAAGGCAGAAGAAATACTAAAAAAAGATATAAAAAATAAAATCAAATCATAACGAGACCGAGAGTCAGCTCACTTTCGAACGGCTATTTGTTTGTGTCGTATATAAGGATGGTTTTGTTGCTGGGACTGGATTATAACCGATCCGAGCTTCGTGCCAAAAAGTCGAGCTGCTGCGGCACAAAACCCAGCCATGCACTCCTTCTCCTTGATGGTGAGTTGGATCCATAGACACCTGGACACAAGATTTACTAATTTAGGTTGGTCTCTCCCTTAGTTTTTCGGGCTATTCCTCGGCTCCAGTCATGCCCTCGGGGATGTCTATCTACCAGCTGTCCAGAGAGCTAACCCAGTGGCCACAGAGTACTTCACTTATGCAGCTCCACCGGAAGAGGATCAGGCAGCTCCTTGGCAAGCAGCTCGCCAGTTAGCCCAGGTGCTGTCTCCGCCCCAGCAGGTGGTCTTCATTCGCACACCGGAGACGAATCTCTTTACCCTAACAGCCAAGCAGCTGGCGACTAACAATCCGCTGGACATCTTTGTGCTTCAGCGCCAGGCGGATGCAGCGGCTCTGGCCCAGCAGCAGGCGGCTATCCAGCAGCAGGCAGCCAACCATCAACCCTCGGTGCACTTCGTCAAGTACCGAACCCCGGCGGATGTGACCCGAGCTTTGAGCGCTCTCAGAAGCGACTATGACCGGCTGCCAGGGAATAGCATCAATCATGCTGTGGAGAAGGCGGATGTCCTGCATCTCAACCCGGTTACAGCGAGGCCTCCAAGTCCCGCTCCTGTGATCTTCAAGATCCGCCCGAAAGACAGCGCCGAGTACGAGACCCATGAACAGGCCAGCGATCTGGAGACGGCCAAGTTGCAGGCTCTATTCCGGGAGTACCTGCCGCCGGGAAAGCGACGCTAAGTCCTCTAGGAACCTGGAGCCTAGTGCCAAAGACTGTTTAAGAGTTAATTAAATTAAAAGCTAATTAGTACAGTTCCATTGCCAATGTGTTTTTTCTGTATGTGTAACCTGGAAATATTTCAGCTGGTGGAATTTTTTGGATTATTAAGTAGGCGACCTGATTAAATATTACTGAGAAACGATATTCGTTTAAATTAACGCCTCATCGGAGACATGATATATTGATTTATTGTTATAAATATTTAAGTTAGCAGACATATTATTTACTTTCAGAGTCCTAGATAGGGGAAATTAAATAATTTATAAAGACTAATTGCTAAAAACGACGAAATTCATAAACAAAAGGGAATTGTATTGATACTTTGTGGTTAGTTTTTTAAAATAATAATTTATTTTGATTTATTTTCTTTGTAAATAATAATTTTTAAGTAAAAAGAAACCCATTAAACCGGCCTATTAATAGTATACATTTTATTAGACACAAATAAAAAGAGGAATTGTTTTCAAAGAGCGGCATTCGCTGCTCATAAATTACTCAATGTACTTGGAATGCCTGGGTTCTTGTAAACAAATTTAATTTAAATTTCAATCAGAAAACATTTAGTTGTTATGGCAAGACTGTAAGGCTGCGAAGGCTGTTTATCTATAGCCTTGCTATTATGAATAATTAATTACTCAGCCCTAGACCGTAACGTTTTACTTCTGAGTTCCTGGCCAGGCCTCTTCGCCCCTCGCACTTGCTGGATAATCTTCAAAGTATCTCTTAGATAATCATTAAGGTGTTGGTAACCAACTGCCGCCCACAGGCCGCCCCGCAAATGTTTTCTTAAGCAAATGTCGCCGGCGTTGCGACGTTGTCGCTGGAAAACTTTTTAATGAGCTGGCGGAGCCACGTCTCATACCCGCGTAGAAGGGATCCTGGGGTTTTACGACAGGCGCTGCTTTAAGAATGTTTCAACTAAATTACGCCACTACGCAAGGACCTGGGCCACGGCGAGGGATGTGCGACAGGACACTGAGGCTGACATCATTTCGCTTTGCAAATTGTTTTAGTGTCAAAGGTCAAATACACACTTCCACCTTCATGGTGGAGCTGGCACTGCCATATGACACGCCGGAGTGCAGCCGTAAAAAGGATCTCTTCAGCTCCCGCTCCCACTCCCGCTCCCGCCACTGCAAATCTGTTGAGCAAGTTTTAGTTTAAGCATTTTTGAGCAACATGAGAAGCTGGTCCTGGGCGCCGCTCGTTAGCGGTGCCTGCCAAAACTTTGCCAGTCACGTCAAAGCTGCCGGCATCGCATTCCGTCCCCACCTCGTATCCCCTCCCAACCCGGATCCTTCTTTATTTCGCGGTATCTGCACGACAAGCCAACTCTGCTTTAATCCCTGGCTGCTTTCTGGCCGCAGGCACCTCATGACTTGCTGCAATTTCGGGACAGGTGTGTCCAAGGTCCAAGTCTCGGATTCCATCCAGCCAGCTGCCAAGTTTGCGTGTTTTCCAATCTTTTCTCCAGTTTTTTTCCAAGGGGCCTCTTGGCTCCGGGCTCTCCAAATTAGGCGCAGCTTGGCGCTGCTTTCGCTTTTGTTTGGCGCTGCTCCTCATCGCATTTTGGTGAGAGTTTGGCTATGCAGCTGGGCACGCCTAATAGCCACGATGAGTGGCCAATTGCCACTGAGGGGCTCAGTTACCAGGAAGTTAGATGAATGCCAATATATATTTAGGGTATCCTGACACAAAAACTTTGCATATTAAGATGTGGAATAAGTACATCTCTGAAACTGAATTTTTAAGAAAAATTCAAAGGAGTGCAGACATCTTTAGAGTTCACAATACATTAGAATTCATCTTGAGACCAGCTTTAAGTCTTTTCACAGAAAATTGCTATTATGAATTCACATTTTCTTTTCTCATATTTCCTTCTGGGTGACCTCTCTCGACCCACACACACAGCTGCTGATATTCTTCAATTTAAATTCTTATTTTGTTTGGCCATCAAACGATGCCGAAAAAGTTTAAATTAGTTAAAGAACTTCATTAACCGAACCGTCGAAGAGATTGACGTCCCAGTGAAAAACGCGAACTTGTGGAAAATTATGAAAATTATAATTACCGGCTTAAGCTGGCCAGAGCGGACCCTCGACTGGCGGCGACCCGAGACCGTCAGATGATATCGCCCGACGACCGTACCGTCCACTAACCAGTAACCAGTAGCAGTTTGTTTTCCAAGCATTTCAACACAGTGGCTGCCGTTTTTTCATTTTTCGGGCCCTTCTCCTCGAAAAGACACAGCATCCAGCCGGGGTTTTTTATGGCCTGTCACAGCCAACACAAATCAATTAGATAATGTGGCAGCATCACAGCAGCGGGAGCATTCGCAATCGCAGCCATGCATATTTATAAACGGCGCAGAGTGCATTTAAATCAAAGCCAAGACAAGCGATAGGCCTAGTATGCATATTCAAATGCCAGTTTGCTTTAATGACGATCGAATAGCACCGAAATCGAGTCCACAGCCATGGCAAGGTCGTTCCTAAACAGTGGATGTCTCTCTCCGAGTTCGTGGGAGGGGTTAGTGCAACTATAAAAGCCAGACTAGGCCTGAATCCCAGCATTAGTTCCCCCTCAACAGCTCCAATTGTACGTTGTGTGCCCCAGTCAACATGCGCGCCTTTATCGTAAGTCTTAAGGGGATTGCCAGCCAGGAGGAGCAGCTGCGAATATATCTCTTTTCCTTGTAGATTCTCTGCCTGATCGCTGCCAGCTGCAGTGCCGATAAGCTGGGCTACAACTATCAGCCAGTGGCCCATGCCGACGAGGGTCTGTCTTTCCTGCCCGGCGGAGGCGGAGAGCTCCCCCAGCTTCAGCTGCAGCCCGTGCAGAGCGGCGAGGCCGTGCTGTCCCAGCCCATTGAGGCTCCCGCCACCATCCAGACCGCTCCCGTTGCTCCCCAGGCTGCCCCTCTGATCGAGGAGTTCCAGAAGGAGTTCTACAGCTATGCCGCCCCCGAGGAGCAGTTCGATGAGGGTGCCAGCAACCAGCAGATCGCAGATTCCCTGAAGAAGAGCCTGCGCGTTGTCTTCATCCGCACTCCCGAGAACCGTGGCTTCGAGCAGGCTGCCCTCCAGCTGGCCAAGCAGTCCGCCCAGCAGGAGACCGCCATCTATGTGCTGACCAAGCAGGGTGATGTGGCCAACCTGGCCAAGCAGCTGAATGCCCTGAAGACCAGCTCGGTCAACAAGCCAGAGGTGCACTTCGTCAAGTACCGCACGCCCGAGGATGCTGCCAATGCCCAGCTGGCCATCCAGAACCAGTACAATCAGCTGCCCGGAGTGTCCCGCATCTCCAACGAGGGACGTGCTCCAGTCCTGAACTTTGCCTCTCAGCCCGCCGTCTCCGGTAATGTGGCTCCAGCTGCTGTTGCCGCGGCTCCCAGCTCTGAGTACCTGCCTGCCAATGTGGTTTCTAGCCAGGATTATCTGCCTCCCACTCTGCGTCGCTTCCGTGTCAAGTAAGGCGGGAGAGAGAAGAAGAGATCCTTGAGAGTATGTCCAACGGTAACGCTTCCTACGCAATCGCATCGAAAACACAAACCCATCACGAGCAATCGACTAGCCCTTAAGTATCCATGTAGAGGAATAAAATTTGTTAGCACACAAATTCGCACGCTGAACTAGAAAACTCATTTGGAGCTGGAGTAGCAGGACATAATTGCAGGACTCGGCCATTTCCCTTCTGGGTGAAATTCATTTTGTCGAGCAAATCCTAGCTCTGGCTCTGACTCTGTCGTCTGGCGGCGCATTCGTGCGTTGTCCTTTCACATAAAATCCCTGAAATAATAGCCGGGATAAAGCGGCTGGCATGTCATAAAGTCCAGCAACAAGTTGAGCCACCCAAAGGCCGCCCACTCATATGGCCGCAGGGGAAGTGGAAGTGGAGGAACCCACATTCATGGAGCACCCATGGAATCCCCGGCATATGCACAACGGTTTTATCCCATCCGCCATTTGTAATTGGAGTTATTAGAATCGAAATGAAGTGGTAGCACAAGGGCCCGGCACTCGGTGCCGACCGCTCTTTGTGCGCCTGCTGGCCAGGGTACTGCCCCTGAAAAGGTACTGCTTATGTTTCCTAGCTGGGACCAAGGGTACATGGAGTGAATACCCACATCTGTAACCACCTCTGATGGTGGCCATTGTTGAGAGCCCACTACCAGTTGTGGTCTGTATAAGTGGCAACGTCCTGTTGCAGGTGGAAGCTGCCCCGCCTCGCCTTCTGTGATCTGTGACCCACCAGCTGACGACGACACTCATCGAGTAGATTGTGTACCCTTTGGTGTTCCGGGGGTGTGAGCCGCCTGTGTGTGTGTGCCCTGATGGCTTCCTGCTTCCGTGTAAGGCAAACTCATCATGCGAAATGCCAGCACCGCACACACATGGCCCTAACCAGAGCCCAAACTGGCATGAACTATGCAGAGGATTTGGCATGCTGTTGAGTGGAGTCCTTAAATTTCACTTAGATGTAACATAAGCCCGATATAAACGCAACTCAACGGTGCATGTATTCATGGCCATCAGGCGGTGGGTGCGTTGGGTGATGGGTGTGTGTGTGTGTGTGCTAAGTGTGTGCCCCTGCAGGAATCGCACGCTTATCAGCAGTCGAGTGCAAACTGAATCCGTTGCTCTTTCTGTCGGCTACAGTGGCGAATCGCTAAAGCGTAACGACAGCGACAATATGTCCTGGGGCGGGTTCGGGTTCCGAAGGGGGTCCTGGCAATTTGGGCCACCATAAACGCTGTTAGCTTGTCTGCCATTTGCCGTCTGACTGCGCCCAGACTGCTGCCTGTAATTAAGGTGATATGCAGCATTCAGCCGACCGAATCGACGACGACGACGACGACAACGACGAGCCTGCCAAGTGCGTGTCCTGTGCGTGTGTATATGCGGTGTGTGTGTGTGTTAATGAGCAGCCCGCTGTGCGCACAAAATAAATTATTAAAACG